GCAGACCACCCGGGCCCTCTGCTCAGCCACATCCTACTGGAGCACAACTATGCCCTGGCCATCAAGCCTCAGCCCTTCACGCCGTCCCCTCGGCCGCTGGAGCCCGTTCCTGCCCCTGCAGCCCTCTTCAGCTCCCCGGCAGATGAGGTCCTGGAGGCCCCTGAGGTGGTGGTGGCTGAGGCAGAGGAACCAAAGCAGCAGGAGGAGGGGGAGGAGGAGGAGGAAGAGGAGGAGTCCGAGTCGTCTGAGAGCAGCAGCAGCAGCAGCAGCACCGGGGAGGGGGCTATCCGGCGGCGCAGCCTCCGCTCCCACGCTCGGCGCCGGAGGCCGCCCCCGCCACCCCCTCCCCCACCGCCTCCCACCTTTGAGCCCCGCAGTGAGTTTGAGCAGATGACCATCCTGTATGACATTTGGAACTCAGGCCTGGATCTGGAGGACATGGCCTACCTGCGGCTCACGTATGAGCAGCTGCTGCAGCAGACCAGCGGGGCCGACTGGCTTAACGACACCCACTGGGTCCATCACACCAATATCCTGACCCCAGCGGCGGCCTCCCGGGACAGGACGGCGGGCCCGGGAGGGGTGGGCTTTCCTGAGGCCACAGCTGGGCAGTGTTCTCTTCAGACAACTCGTGTCTGCGTTTCTCTTCCTCCCTCTCCACTTCTTTCTGCCCCCGCTCTTCAGCCTGGGTCTTTCTCCTCTGGCTACCGGGGTATGTTCTCTCTGCCTCCTGCCTCTTTTCTGCCTCCCAAAGTGTTCCTGGCAGAAAAGGTGGCCTAAGACTGACTTCTCTCATCTTTCTGTACTCCTTATACCAACTATGCTCAGGGCCAGTTACCCTTTCCGAGGGCTGGGACTGCAGGGACAGGGCAGTGAGGCCCCAGGGACCTGGCCAGTGTGGGACCCGTTCTCTTCCTTAACACCCCCTGCACTCACCAACCTGAGCACTCCAAAACGCAAGCGGCGGCCCCAGGATGGGCCCCGGGAGCACCAGACGGGCTCCGCTCGCAGCGAAGGCTATTACCCCATCAGCAAGAAGGAGAAGGACAGGTACCTGGACGTGTGCCCTGTCTCGGCGCGGCAGCTGGAAGGGGCGGACACTCAGGTGAGGCCCTGCCCTGGTCTATGCCCACCCATTGCTTCTCCGCCACATTGCTTCTCCGCCACATGCCTCCTCCGTCCTGTTCTCCAGGGGACTAACCGTGTGCTGTCAGAGCGCCGATCTGAGCAGCGGCGGCTGCTGAGCGCCATCGGCACCTCGGCCATCATGGACAGCGATCTGCTGAAGCTAAACCAGCTCAAGGTGAGGAGCGGGGACTCCAGGAGGAGAGGGGCCAGTGGAAGGGCAGCCTCGTGGGGTCCCTAGGGGTGCGGAGGGAGTGGTGGCTGGAGCTCCCTCCTGCCCTGGGATGTGCAGGAAGAGCCGGAGACAGGTTGGGGAGCATCCAGCAGCAGTCTGCCCTCTGCCCTCTAGTTCCGGAAGAAGAAGCTCCGATTTGGCCGGAGCCGGATCCATGAGTGGGGTCTGTTTGCCATGGAACCCATCGCAGCCGATGAGATGGTCATCGAATATGTGGGTCAGAACATCCGCCAGGTGAGGAGTCCCACACCCAGCTCCCAGCGCAGTGGCACCTGGGATGCTGACATGAGACCCATCCAACCCTCTGGACAGAGCCCCACAGGCCTCCCGCCTCCAAGGCTTAGCCATGGACCACTTCCCTCCCTTCCCCCTCCCCCCTCCCCTTCCCTCCCTTCTCCTTCCCTTCCTTGCTAGTAACGGGTACTAGTAGAGCAGTAAACTAGATGGTAATGGTGCAGCAAGAAACAAGGCTAGTATCTCTCCCTTTAAGGACCTCGGTTTAGCGGGGAAGACAGGCATTGGACAGTAACTGCCATGAGAGGTGTTTGCTTGTTACAGAGGGGGAGTTCAGAGACCGGGTGGCTGGGACACCGGTGTTTACACCGGGACCTAAAGGCTCTCGAGCTCCCAGTCTCGGGTGAGGGAGGTGCAAGGAGGGCCCTGTGCTAACGGGAGAAACGGGTCAGGCAGGGACCTGCGGCCGAGGGGCAGGCGAGGCCAGGCTCCCCAGAAATGAGGAGCCACAGGAGTGAGTTGGGGCCCACGGAGAGGAGGACAGTTGTTGCTGTAGTGTCAAACAGGAGAGGGCTTGGGAGGTTGCAGGCTCCCTCTGGCGGCGGTGAGGAGAGAACTAGAGGCAGCAGTGCGGTGGGAGGGGCTGCTGCAGACCCCAAAGGAGGGTTCCTGGGCGAGGCGGGGCGGCCAAGGTCGCAGAGTCTATGGGTCCAAGGTAGCTGGCAAGACAGGCTTTGCAGAGGGCGGGCACGGGGGGGGGGGGGGGGTTTGAGGCCATTTCTCAGGGGCTGCCTCTGACAGCTGGGAGTGAGGCTGCCAGTGAGGGGAGTGAGGAGGGGGAGCAGATGTGCGATCAGATGAGTTCCAGTCGGAACCTCTAGAGGAGGACACCCAGCGGCTCCTGAGGTGGATTCGGCAGATGGAGGTTTGGGAGACCAGCACTGAGCCGGCCGCCCAGGCCTGGGAGAGCCAGAGGCTTGAGCACCCGTTTTCTGGGAAACAGCAGTTGCTCCTCATGCAGGAACCTAGGTCTTAATGTGGACAACCAGAGCAGCCAGGGAGCCTGTTTGGAGGGAGGGTCCGGGAGAAGAGAGGAGAATTCAGTCCGCGGAGTGCCCACTGTCATCTTGGGAACGGTCACAGCCCCACGGTAGACGGGGAGCCAGGCAGACACTCCAGGAGCAGCCAGTGCCAATGTCCCTGGGTCCTCTTTGGGGGCTTACAGTGGCAGTGAAGGCGTAGGGGCTGGCCATTAGGGGGCGGGCTCCTGGAAGCAGCCAGGAGTGTCCGCAGGTGGGGTCAGTGGGAGCGAGAGAGCTACAGACCCAGGACAGGTCGTTGTGGTCCCAGGATGGCGGCTGGGAGACTGCGGACGCCCAGTGAGAGGCTGCCCTCTGAGGGGCAGCTCCCTGACCGCACTCCTCCTCCAGATGGTGGCCGACATGCGGGAGAAGCGCTACGTGCAGGAGGGCATTGGCAGCAGCTACCTGTTCCGGGTGGACCACGACACCATCATCGACGCCACCAAGTGTGGCAACCTGGCGAGGTTCATCAACCACTGCTGCACGGTGCGCGGGGGCCCGGCGGGGGGAGGGGGGGGGACGCCATGCAGGTGGACACCGCTCACTCTCCTCCCCCTGCAGCCCAACTGCTACGCCAAGGTGATCACCATCGAGTCCCAGAAGAAGATCGTGATCTACTCCAAGCAGCCCATCGGCGTGGACGAGGAGATCACCTACGACTACAAGTTCCCGCTGGAGGACAACAAGATCCCGTGTCTGTGCGGCACCGAGAGCTGCCGGGGCTCCCTCAACTGAGGTGGGCAGACGGCGCCCACACCCCTATTTATTCCCCTTGGTGCCCTGAGCTCCAGCACCCAGCCTTAGTGGGCTCAGGAGGGCCCACGTGCCCCCATCTCTGAGTAAGGAGTTGGGCCCCTGAGCCCCGCAAGGGAGCCTCAGTCCCTAAGGCAGTGTCTGCCTCCTGTCACCCCTGCCCCCCACCCCTAATTTTTTTCTTTGCGGAGAAGAAGCTGTAAATGTTTTGTAGCTGCCAGCAGCTGTTTCCTGTGGAAACCGGGGTGCCAGCCTGTATAGATCCTGTTCTTGGGGGCCGCACAGCCCTCTTGCTTTGTGTTAATGGGGACTTCCCTTGTGTGCCCTGTGTGCACCCCTCCCCAGTTTAGGGGTCTCTAGGGGCAGTGGCCATGTTCTCCCCCTGGGGAGGGGGGCCCTGTGCCTCCCAGTCCTGGGGACTCTGTGCCTGGAACCCTGCCTCGTCTTCTGTTCCTGCCAGACCCTGTGGGTCACCCTTCTGCCCTGGTGTCTGTCAGCTCTGGTTGGGCCAGGCCAGGATGGTGGGGGGAGCGGGCCCTTCCTGTTGGGCTGGATTGTACATATGTTAATAGCGCAAACCCAATGCCACATTTTTATAATTGTGATTAAACTTTATTGTACAAAAAGTGCTTGGTCAGTATCTTTGGGAAAGAGCAGGGTGGGATGGGGGTTGAGGTCAGGGTGGGGAAGTGAAGAGGGGAAGGGGGGGGCCTGGAGTTGGGGCAGGTAGAGGGGCGAAGGGGCAAGAACCCGACCCGCAGACAGCCACCATTGCTCTGGACCACCTGATGGGCTGGAACAGCCACTAGAAATCCCCTGGCAAGGCCAGCCACACAAGCCAAGGTCAGCCTTCCCAGAACCACAGCTGCTTCTGGGCTTCTCCCTCCTGGGAAACCCAGCGAGAGGCAAGGACTGACATCAGCAGGAGTGAGGTCACTGCCCATCTCATCCCTTCCCCCAAGCGCCGCAGTGCCCATGCAGCAGGTTTGGGCTTTCCGACCCCCTTCCCCAAGTTCCTTGCTGGAACCAGATGCCATGGAGCCCAGTGGCCACCAGGGGGGGCCCTGTGGCAACAGTAGGAGAGGAGGGGTGGAGGCTGTTCCTGGAATGGCCAGGAGGGAGGAGCGAGCGGAAGGGGACAACCATTTATCGCTGGCCCTGGCCGGAAATGAGAGAAGACCAGCTCTGGTGGCTAGTGTGGGCACCCTGGGACTGTGGCTGCAGGTAGGCAGAGCTGATGTCTGAGGTCCCCTTCCCTAGCCCCAGCCCTGCCCACCTCTCTCTACCCTCCCTCCTTCCTTCTCTCCCCCACTGTTTTTATCCCAGAACCTCCCCTCCACCTCAAACACGGAGTCCTTCCTGCAAGCCCGGACCACATCTCAGTAACCAGTTAGCAGGGTCACAGGGCAGGTGGCCTGGCTGCTGCACCACTAGGGACAGTTGTAGCCCCTGATCACCGCTCCAGTCCCCTAGGCTAGAGGCCCCTTCATGGAACAACAGGCAGGCTGCTGATACTGGGCAGGCAGCACACGGCAGGAGCTCAGGGGAAGCAGGGTCTCTCCCAGCAGGACATGGCAGACTCCGCACAGGCCCAGGAGCTGGTCTACCTGGTCACAGGGGGCTGTGGCTTCCTGGGGGAGCATGTTGTCCGAATGCTGCTGCAGCAGGAACCCCGGCTTCGTGAGCTGCGGATCTTTGACCTGCACCTGGGTCCCTGGCTGGAGGAGCTGAAGACAGGTGATGGTGGAGGGGAGCTGGGGGGTGGGAGGGTGTGGACTGGCTTCACTGGTGGAAAGGGTGATGCCTGTTTGTGTTCTCCGTTGCGCAGGAATGGGGTGAGTGAGTCACACTGGAAACATGTGGCTCCCAGGGGTGTAGGCTGAACCAAACAGCTGACATGGGCTCAGCTCTGACATTGCATCTCGCTGCCCATCCCTACCAGGGCCAGTGCAGGTGACTGCCATCCAGGGGGATGTGACCCAGGCCCACGAGGTGGCAGCGGCTGTGGCTGGAGCCCACGTGGTCATCCACACGGCCGGGCTGGTGGACGTGTTTGGGAGGGCCAGTCCTGAGACCATCCATGCGGTCAACGTGCAGGGTGAGGTATTCCCCCACCGTTCTTAAGACTGGCCCAGGCCCTGATCTGGACTGTGTGTCCCTCCCCCCCGCTCAGACCTTGACCTCTGTGATTCTCCTGCGTCAGTCAGTCCTGTGTGCCCTCCTGTCCCTGTAATAGAAGGCCGGCCCTCACCAACTTGCGTGGTTTTCCCTGGACGTGGGGGAGGAAGCCATATGCCTTCATCCAGATTTGGGCTGGGAAGGGGAAAGATACAGAAAGGGAGAGAGGTTCAGTTCGGACACACCCCGCCTCCCCAGGCACGAAGAATGTGATTGAGGCTTGTGTGCAGACTGGAACACAGTTCCTGGTCTACACGAGCAGCATGGAAGTTGTGGGGCCCAACATCAAAGGCCACCCCTTCTACAGGTGAGCTGGGGTTCCCCTCGATGCTGTAAGAGCCCGTCTCCCCTCAGCACTGAGCCTTCTCTCCCCCACTAGGGGCAATGAGGACACCCCGTACGAAGCGGCGCACAGACATCCCTATCCTCGCAGCAAGGCCCTAGCTGAGCAGCTGGTTCTGGAAGCCAATGGAAGGAAGGTAAGATGAGGAGGCGCAGAGCCATGCCAGCCGGCTTGTGTGTCCTGCCTGGCACCTCCTTCCATTCCCAGCCGGAAGAGGGCAGGCCACCGGCTCCTCGGTCTTAGCAGTGCCTACCTTTTGTTGCCAGGTCCGCGGGGGGCAGCCCTTGGTGACATGCGCTCTGCGTCCCACCGGCATCTATGGTGAAGGCCACCAGATCATGAGGGACCTCTATCACCAGGGCCTGCGCCTGGGAGGCCGGCTCTTCCGGGCCATCCCAGCCTCTGTGGAGCACGGACGGGTCTATGTTGGTGAGGCCCGGGGAGGCAGGGGGAGGCTGCATGGGTCTGGAAGGGGTGCAGTGTGTACCCTGCATGGAAGAGAGTGGCCTGTACATGGGCTGGGGCAGACCAGATGTGGGCCTCAGGGAAATGGCATTCTTGCAAGTTGGGAAGGCAGACAAAAACGTCATAGGCTGAGGGAGAAGAGAGGGGCAGCATCTACATGGGCCCAAAGAGCAGGTGGCCTGGGAGAGCAGCAGCTGCATGATCACAGGGACACTCAGGGGCGTGTCCACCCCTTCCCTCTGGCAGGCAACGTGGCCTGGATGCATGTGCTGGTGGCCCGGGAGCTGCAGGAGCGAGCGGCCTTGATGGGCGGCCAGGTGTACTTCTGCTATGACAAGTCACCCTACAAGAGCTACGAGGACTTCAACATGGAGTTCCTGGGCCCCTGTGGACTCCGGCTGGTGGGCACCCGCCCGCTGTTGCCCTACTGGCTACTGATGATTCTGGCCGTCCTCAACGCCCTGCTGCAGTGGCTACTGCGGCCGCTGCTGCTCTATGCGCCCCTGCTTAACCCGTACACCCTGGCCATGGCCAACACCACCTTCACCGTCAGCACCGACAAGGCTCAGCGCCATTTCGGCTACGAGCCCCTGTTCTCATGGGAGGAGAGCCGGACCCGCACGGTTCGCTGGATGCAGACCATGGACAGCTCGGCCCAGTGACGGTGGAGCTGGGCTGGAGCCCAGCGGACACATCCATCCAGGCCCCGACAGCGGGGAGGCTGCGCTCTGGAGCCGGAGGGTCTGGTCCTGGAGCCTCACGTGAAACCATGAGCACCGAGTCCGGCCCGCCGCTCTCAGTTCTGGGGCAGGATGCCTCGGCTCCCACCCGCCCGCTGTCTGGTCGGCGGGCTCTGATTTCCTGATGTTCTCACTGCCATCCATTGGCTTTCCCAGCAGGAAGTGAGGACACATTCCACAGGCCTCCTCTGGCCTTCCGCCATCCCTGCCGGACCCGGGCTCAGAATGAAGAGGCTTTCTGGCTCCTCCTACACCTTTGTCCCTCGGGGAGGGTCACATCCCCATTATTTTAAAACATCACCTTATAATTCTCCTCAGTGAAAGCTGAGGAAATCTGTCTTTTCACTTCTTCCCACCCCTGTGCCCACGTGTAGTTCCTGCCATATTGTGAGGTCTCTGTTGAGGGTGCCCCAGAAACTGTACCTGCCGTGCCCTGGATTAAAACTCCTTTATCTACATCTGTGTCCGGCGCCTGCCCGGCCCCCCGCCTGCCTCCCCGAGTGGCCCTCCCCGCGGCGCCGTCCCCTGTGCGGACAGAAGGAAGTGAGCACGCAGCACGCCCGCTGTTGGATTGGTTGCTATTTCTCCCGTTCCACGGGGCCCAACCCGGCCCAAGGGGGTGGGGGGCTCTGGGGACAGGACATGCAGGGCTGGGGGAGGGAGGGCAGAATTTTCCTGTGTTTTATCCATTTGCAACTTGGTCACCAATAGAGAGAAATGGGTCTCTGAGGGCCAACAGGAGAGGGTGGCCTGGCTCTGGGCCCCCAGCCAGGCCCCAAGAGTCCTGTCCCCTCTGGAGAGGCGAGGGAAAGCTCTAGAAACCAAAGGGGAAACAGAGGGGGGCAGGGGCTCATGTCAGCAAACACAGCTACATCACGTGACACGCCAGCGACACAGAAACACACGCCAACGCACACGGCTGCACAGCGGGCAGGGGGCAGGTGGGAAGGGAGCCGGGGGCCACCATCTTGTCCTTTGCGGGGCGGGCTGGGGGGCAGGGTGAATGCATAGAACACATCATGTACACACGCTCAAGGCGTGGCATGAGCGTGCATCGACCCACAGGCACATGGGATGGACACGCGCAGTGTGCTTTGTGAGAGGCAGAGCTGGGGTTAAAGGGGAAGGGAAGGGAAGCAGTGAGCCCTGGCCAGGCCCGGGACCACCCGGAGCACAATGGCTGTCGGTGTGGGCGGGTGGGAGCACACACCTCCAAGACCACGTAAAAGACACCCCCCCAGACAACACTCCAGAGCACATGGGACAGCAGCCAACAAGCAAACACATCATATGAGGCTGGGACTCAGGGAAGCTGGGGCCTGACACTGAGATGGCAGCTATGGGCCTGATCCACTCAGGGAGGCAGCAGCCTGGCTCCAGCCGCGGCTCCCGCCTCCGTGGTCCCAAGGCCGAGCGACCTCAGGAAACACCGGGCGGAAAGGGAGTCTGGCACCGGAAGGAAGGGGGGGGAGTGCCGGGTCGTCTCTGACGCCCCTAAGAAGTGAGAAGGGAGCAGGAGGGCTGCCGGCAGACACGGGGCCACTTCCTGTCCTGCAGAAGGGCATTCTGGGAATGCAGTCAGGGCCCTTCTTCAGGACAGCACACCTTGGGGTTTACACATATTGGCCACACACAAGTAGAGCCCAAACAGCCAGGTGGGGAAGAGCTGGTGTGGGGCTGGGGAGGGTACTGTGTCCCAGGTCACATCTGTCCCCCCCCCCTTTCTCTCTCTCCCTATCTCTCTCTCTCTCTCTCTCTCTCTCTCTCTCTCTCTCTCTCTCGCGCGCGCGCGCACACACACACACACACACACACACGCACACGCTTCACATAAAGCGGAACCCTGGGAAATGATCTGCACACAACCCTGAGTCCTTTACCCAGTGCACATGGATGCCCACACTGTGTTCAATCCTGTTCATGTGGATCCATGTTCCTCAGCCACGGAGCGCAGGGGCTTCTGACATCCTTTGCTCATGTACCCCCATCAGCCACCAAACGCACAAACCCGCCTGTGCATGCACTGCCTACATCAGGAGGAGCTAGCCCTTTCCTCACCATCAGAAACCCAGGCCTGTGCCCATCCTGGTGGGGAGCAGTGATTGCAGTCATTGCGGCAGATGTGTCCAGGGGCTGGACCCTGGGACTTGGCCCATCCTGAGCGGCTGCTGCCACTGGCCCTCCAGTGCGCTTGCAACACTCAGCTCCCCAGACCAAGGTCCCTGAGACGGAGCCCAGAGCATCCAGTGGGGCGAGGGAGACAAATGCTCTGAGGTAAGTGTGCGGAAGGCAGGAATCGCTCATCCCTCACTGTCTGGGGTCGCCCTCCACATTGGCCTCATCAGTCATGTTCTCACACTAGCCCTTCCAGGAGGCATTCCTGTGCGGACGGGGGCAGGCCTGTGTGTGCCCCAGTGTGCCGGGGCGTGGTCCCCTGCACGAGGCCTCCTGAGCCTTAGCATGAGTGAGCACACGGTGTCCCGGCCCTCATGGGCGCAGCCTGTCCTCTGGCAGGGACACGGGAAGAGAGGCATGTGGGCTGTGTCAGGGGCTCTGACACCTGCCAGGGCAGGAGGCGCCGTTGCACAATGTTGATATTGCAGTGTGTGGCCATCGCCAGATACTGGCAGCGGCTCCGGGGAGAGAGGAAGGGGCAAGTCAATCTGCATAGACAAACCTGGATGGGGCACAGGACCTTAAACAGAAACGTGTGCACACAGTCAACGGGACGGAGCACTGTGGAGGAGCCTTTGTGCAGTGCACATGCATGCTCACATGGACCATCCAAACTGCATCGAAGCACGGCCTCCTGTGCCCACCCGAGCGTGCCCGGTGCGCACAGGGACAGCTGTGTGAGGAGACTACCAGCACTCAGCAGATCTGACACACACGTGCTTCTCACATCACCTGCTGGGGAAATGTATGTGTACGTACAAGCCAAGCCAGGCTATTTATACGTGTGTGCTTCCTCTTATGTTGACTCAACTCCACAGCTCACCACACACACACACACACACACACACATTTCCCCAGGACCCATGCCTGGGGTAACTCAGCCAGGAAGATTGGCTCACATCTCTCTCCGGGGGTGCCTGCCCTGGCCTGTGAACGGGGGTCTACCTGGATCCTCTGGGAGTGAGCTCTGTACACCCACAGCCTGCCCGTTCACAGCAGATGTGGGGGAGGGTGTCAGTGGAAGAAGTGCTATTGCATTGGATTCAAACACTCCAACACCAAAGTCCATGTACACAGATATGTGCCCACAGACCTGCGGACACACACACACACACACACACACACACACACACACACACACACCTGTTCACAGAAGACAGAGCAGGGCTCGGGGGGCTGCTGTGTGATCCCAGTCACCGTCTACACAACCACTGAGCGAAAAGGAGGGTGACGTGGTGCTTCTACACACATCTGTGAACACACACACACACACACACACGCTGGGGTGTCCACTCATCTCGAGCACGTGCCGGCGGCATGCATTTTGGTGTGCATGTGTAATCACGCCTGCTGCTATGTATGTGGGGGGAGGGTCCACGGTACAGTGAGGTCCAGGGACTCCAGGGTCTGATGGCGGGAGGTGGGTGGGGGGGTAAGGGAGGACTGCCTGGGTCCGTCTTGGGGTGAGCCTGGAGCAGGGATGGAGTGACAGGGGTTGTGGGGGTATTGCTCCCGATGTGGTGGGGAAGGGTCTGGGGGAGACAGGGGTGGTGGGCCTACAAGCCCAGCGTCCCCCCAATGGATGACGCCAAGACCACCCCCAGCACCACACAGCAAATGATGATCATGATTTTCTTCTGCGGGCGGAGAGGGCCATGGGACAGAGGGGAGAGGGGCAGTTTGAGAGAGAGAGACAGACAGAGAGGGGGGAGGGTGTGAGGAAAAAGAAGAGGGAGAGAAAACAGAAAAATGCAGAGGTCAGAGCCAGAGATAAGGCCTTCAGGGAATGTCATCACTCGCCTCAGCCCAGGCCAGAGCCCGCCCCGCCCGCCCCCTCCCGCCCCGGCTCAGGCTCACCCTCCGGGCCTTGCTCTGATATCTCACGGCTTTCTTCGTGTCAGACACAGCTCGCTCCACGTAGTCCACGGAATGTTCCACGTTGTATTCGATCCGGTCAATCATCTCGCCCTGCAGAGGGGATGCGAGGGGAGCCGTGGCTGGGCTGGAAGAGGAAGGGGGAAGGGGGGCTGGGGCGGTTTCCAGATGGGGTGGCGGGCAGAGGCAGTACCTGGCTCTCCACGAGCATGGCCATGTCCACAAACATGTCGTGCAGCTCGCGGATGCTGGTTTCCAGTTTGATGATCTCGTTGTGCCTCGTCTCGATCTCGTTCAGCGCCTGCTTCGTCATCTGGGAGTCCATTTTGATCTAGGACGATGCGGGGGGAGGGGGGCTGCTGAAGACCACCCTTCACTCCCATTAGAGCTCAGAGCCTGCAGCCAGAGCACCTGGGTCCAACCCTCGCTGTCACTCACTAGCTGCACCCTGGGCAAATGATCTCGCCTCTCTGGGCCCAGTTTCCCCCCCTGGAAAACATGGGTAATAACAGTGCCCACCTCATGGCCGCTGTGAAGATTAAGGAGTTGTTAGTATGTGTACACTGATCAGAATAGTGCCTGGCATAGAGGAAGCACCGAGGACAAGTTTGTTAAGTTATGGGAAATAACACTGTCCCAGCCCTCCACCTTAGCCAGGGCTGCCTGTCACACCACAGAGGCCCCAGGAAGACAGGCAGAGATCCAAGGCCCCACCAGTACTCCGGCCCCTGTCTAGTCATAGAGAAATGGAAGAAGACACAGCAGAGAGAACGGGGTGGGCGAAGGAGAAAAAGGGAGGGAGAGAGGGAGAGGGAGAGGGAGAGGGAGAGGGAGAGGGAGAGGGAGAGGGAGAGGGAGAGGGAGAGGGAGAGGGAGAGGGAGAGGGAGAGGGAGAGGGAGAGGGAGAGGGAGAGGGAGAGGGAAAGGGAGAGAGGAAGAGAGGGAGAGGAGAGAGAGAGGGGAGAGAGAGAGAGGAGAGAGGAGAGAGAGAGAGAGGAAGAGAGAGAATAGCAAGCAGAGAAGGAGGCCCAGGTGAGAAGGCAGGGTGCCCACCAGTCCCCTGGACAACATGACAGGAGATGGGGAGAAGTAAAGGAGAGCACTGAAGCCTGAGAGTCGGTGGAAGAGAGACTCCAACCCAGACTTAGCTGCCCCTCCTCCCCACGATGGCTGGCCTGAGCCCGCCGCTCACTCCTCAGAGCGTTGGCCGTTCAGGCCACGTCAAGCCCCTCCTCTGCCAGGGCTCCCCTACCCACAGGGTACACACCTTATCTTTTTTAAAAAGATATTTTTATTGATTTCAGAGAGGAAGGGAGAGGGAGAGAAACATCAATGATGAGAGAGAATCATTGATCGGCTGCCTCCTGCACACCTCCTACTGGGGATTGAGCCCGAAACCGGGGCATATGCCCTTGACCGGAATCGAACCCAGGACCCTTCAGTCTGCAGGCGGATGCTCTATCCACTGAGCCAAACCGGCTAGGGCCACACCTTTATCTTAGCAGTCAAGGTGCAGGCTCCTTTTCCACCCTCATCTCCTGCTCTCCAGCAGGAGCCAAAATTCAAAATTGTCCAATGGCTGTCTGGCAAGTGGTCCACTCTCCCTGTCTCTGTCCAGTCTGTTCCTCCATCCATAGTGGCCTTTGCCCACCTCCCCGTCCACACGCTCCTTGTCTCTTCAGGCTCAGCTTAATGCCACATCCCAGGGAGCCTTCCCTGGCTGTGTGAGTCAACTACCATAGCGCCCGTCTGCATCTTGCACAGCCTCAAGCAAGGTGCCAGCCACCTGCACGGGCTGGTTAGCTGGCAGGGATCAGCTCTGCCTCCTTAGAACCACTCACCAGCTTCCCTCCGTCCTCAGACAAACAGCCTGAGACCAAGAGCTGTCTGCAGAGCTCCAGGCTAGATGCCCACAATCAATTTGCTCAAAGCTAATCTAACAAAGGCCAATTATCTAAGGGACAACAGGCTAGAAAGTCCCTGAACATACTTCAACCTGGTCTAGACCTTACATAGAGCCATTCCACCACCAGAAGCACAGGCAGACCGAACTGACAGGCCAGGGTAAAACTCAAAAGAGAAAGAAGAACTGCAGCTGGGGAAGCCCATCCATTCACATACAAGATGACAAGGCAGGACAGTATGCAAAACTAAAACAGGGATTTTAAAAATTTTTTGAAAGGTTGGCAGATTAGTCATTGGGTGAGGTAGCCTGCATCAGTTGGGCACTCCGTATCTTAGTCCCGAAGAGTCCGGATCACCACCTCCGTGTGGATTCCAGCACTGGCTCTCCCCCAGCTGTGACCTCAGCCAGTTACCTAACCTCTCTGGGCACTGTTCCTCACCGTGAAATGTGCTCCCTCGGGGGGTTGTGGTGGGGGTGAAACGAGGTTAGTAGGTAAATGTGAGTGTGTAAAGTGCTTAAAACAGGCCTGGCACACTGCTGTTTGCCACTTTTATGGGGGCGCCTTCCTGTTCTGCTCCTATGGGATTCCCCAGTTCCAGGGCCAGGCCTCCCCTGCCAGCTATTGCAGGTGGACTTAGGACCTTCAGCTTAACCCAAGTGTGGGGAGGAGATGCAGCTGCTTCCCAAAACAGGCCGGCCCCCGCCCGCGCTCACGTCATCCGTGAAGATGGCCAACTTCCCGCTCTCCAGCATGTCCTCCAGTTCTTCGTTGGTTGTGGTCCTTCCGGCTGTGGGGAGGAAGGACTCGATGCTCAGGGCTGGGCGAGCCTGCGCCGGGGTGGTGGGATGGGGCAGGGACCCGGGACACCACCCTTCCATGGGGCTCTAGGCCAGGCGCCCCTCCACCCAGAGGAAGGGCCTGGCAGGAGGCTGGGCAGGCCCGGGAGTCTGCAGGGGAGGCACACGCACTGATCTCCAGCTGCCGCTGGATCCTGTCCTTGCAGCGGTCCCGGTACTTGGACTGGGTCGCGTTATATTCGGTCATTACTTCCACGAACTTCCGGGAGAGTGTAGAATGCTGGGGTGGGGGCAGGGCAGAGACCGAGGGGAACCGTCAGTGCACACGTGGAGTGGAGAGGAGGGGTGACCACGCCCACCCCAATCCCCCACAAGAGTACAGTCCCCTTCTGCTTGTCACCCCATCTAACGCCCAGACCAGCGGCGGCCCGGGCCTGGGCATTAGGATGTGACCGGTACCAACCCGTTATAACTCCGCCCCCGCCGTAATCCCGCCCACCGGCCCCTCCCTCCCAGAAACCCCGCCCACCGGGCCCTCCCCCGGCTGTAGCCCCACCACAAACCGCCCTCCGCCGTAACTCCGCCCACATGCCCCTCCCTCCGCCGTAACCCCGCCCTCTGCCGCAGCCCCGCCCCCACCAGCAAGGCCCCGCCCCGGCTCCGTCCAGGACACGCCCCCGGCCGCCTCCCACCTGAGTCTTGCGGATGCGCAGGTCCGCGGAGGAACGGTTCAGGCCCTCCTCCTGCTCGATGCTCTGCTCGATCGCTGCGGGAGAGAGGGTGCAGTGAGACCCGGGCGTGCGGGGCGGGGGTCCGGGGCGGAGGAAGGGCCGACACCCCGAGGCAGGCCCCAGGCCTGCGGAGAGATGTCACACCCGTGGCGAAGGCAGACAGTCAAGGTCCCGTGTGAGGAGCAGGAGGCCGGAAAGTAAAGGGACAGACGTTTGAGGGGGTCGGGAGAGCAGGTGGGGAGGCTGAGGGTCAGAGGGCACTGTTTGCTCCGTCGTTGGCTCGGGTCTTGGGAAGCCCCGTAGCTGTAACCACAGCCATTCCCGGAGGGAGTGGGGCCCAGGCCCCTGCGAGCGGCCTGTGTGCAGGCAACCCTGCTCGCCATGCTCAGGGGGGTTCCGCGGAAGGCGAGCGCTTCCGGTGGGTCAGAAGCCACCATTTCCTGCAAATTCTAGGCGAGTGATGCACGTTCCATAGGGAAAATAGCGTCCTCCTTCCGCCCCTCTCCCCGCGCCCTACAAGGCAGCCCTGTCCCAGAATTCCCGCTTCTAAAGGATTCTGGAAAAGCACACAGATTAACCGAGGTTTCTGCTTCTGGATCATGCACTCCTGACGCTTATCCGGATTTTCTCAAACAGCTTGCAGCTAGGTGTCCTGAGCTAGGAGACGCAGCGGGGAAGTCACCACCAGGCCCGTTCCTGTTCTGCTGGCAGCAGGGAGCTTTGGGAACGCATCCATGAAGTGGTCCCGATCCACGTGGACCACCTCCCAACTGCCTGCCAGCAACGAGGAGCAGTGACCGAGGGGCAGCTAGGGCCCAGCTGCTGCAGGAAAGGCCCGCCTTGCCCCAGGGATGTCAGAATCTCTGGTCCAGACTCGGATCCTATTGTCAGACGCGGGACTGGAGCTTACCCCTGGGCGAAGGGGTCCTTTACTTTGTAGTCTCACTGACTTCTTACAAAAATCCCGGGAGGTCAGTGATCCCAGTCCACTGTCAGACTAGAAACTGAGGTCCAAGTGGGTAAAACAACTCCAAGTCACACACAAAACCTGAGCTCGTGCCACCACACAGCTGAGGAAGATGGAGAAGAGGGTCTCCTCTTTCTGGGGTCTGGAAGGTCAGCTTCTAGAAGCTTCTGCCACTTTTCCTACTCTCTCGATCTTTTCCTGAACCCCTAAGCCATGGAGCCCTCCTCATGGTCCAAAGAGAGACAGTAAGGTCAGAGCTTGAGGGGCCCCAGGAAGTCACCAAGCCCAGGGATCTCTAAGTAGGGTTCCATGGAACCCTGGTTTTGAGAAGGAACTTGACCGGAGTGTTCCAGCCCCAGCTCAGCCAGAGCAGCCTGACTTTTATGTGCTGTATATATTAGGGTTCTTTATAAGATTTCATTTGGAAAGAAAGGATTTTGCTACCAGAAAAAAAGAAAAAAAAAAGCCAGCTTTGAAATGGCTCCCATTTTTCTTGCTGAGGGCAGGGTCTGGTCCAGTGGGTGAGGATGTGCGCGGGGCTCCCTCTGCCTGGAGCTGGACTCCATGTGCGCCCAGTTTGGGTCGTGTTCCTTCCAGCACACGCTCCCGGGTGCAGATGGCTTGTTTTCTCAGATCAGCACGAGCTAACGCACGGCCTCCTGTGGAGCCCGGGAGGCATCGAGCCTCCGTCCTCATCTCCCCGGACCAAGGTCACAGCACGCAGGCCCGGCAGCTGGCACGGTTCCCTTCCCCCGGAGCCCAGCGTGTGGCCCCAGCGGAGTAGGGGCTTGGCAAATGTTTCCTGCCGCTGAATTACCGTGAGCATACAAGGTGGCATCAGGACAACACTGCCATTCCCCTGGCACCGCGGACAGGGAGGTTCCCAACCCACAATGCCTCGGGGGAGGTGGTTATTACCAGCACCCAGGTCCTTAAATTAGAGCGAATACGTGAGCATTTGGCAAGTCCCTCCTGAGAGCCTGCCAGCCCCTGATGTCAGCTACACCGTCCAATCTGTCCTGAGCCGAGGGTACCAATTCAGAGGCATTTGCTGGACCCACCCACTGGGTGCCGCGGACGATGCCTGCACCTGCTCTGGGGAAATGAGTCCTCAGTGAAACTGAAGCCATTTGGGAGGCTCTGTTTTTCTGATGGACCTTCACGCTGATGGAATCAGCAGAGCTCACATACAATCTGGCCAGCCCGCCCCCTCTCCCTCATTCCCGTCGTGTCTCTTTCCTCAAAGAATCTGGAGCAAGGAGGGAAACTGGGCTGTGTGCTTTCTCCTGGGTGAGAGCCTGGCTCCCGGGAGTGTGTGGACATTCCTGAGAGAGAGGCCGGTCTGGTCGCTGGGAGGCAGAGCTCTTTGGCTCCTGAGTCGGGAGGTTGCAATCCTCACCTTTCAATTTGGACCGAACCTTGTTGGCCGTCTTCTTGATGTCTGCAGTGAGGTCCTCCAGCTCCTGTTTGGTCTCTGAGGAGGGGGCCGGGGTGAGTGAGAAGTCTGGGTGGACCCCGGCCCCAGGCCCCCAGCCCCCGCCACTCGGCAACAGCACTCACTCTCGTCCGGGTTGGGGGCGGCCAGGATGGCGCTGTGCTGTTTCTTCACCTGCTCCACGTCCTCCGACAGCTTCTCAATGCAGCCCCGGATCTCCTCCACCTGGGGGCAAATCGGCGGTGCCAGGCGGAGCCTTCAGGCCAGACAGGGACTCACAGGGCTCACTCGGGGTTCAGGGAATGGGCCAGACCCAGAGGGACTGGGAAAGGCCCAGGGGTGTAGGACTAGAGGAAGGGGGTTGTTGGCTGAGGGCCGGGTTCTGGGTCTGGGGTACTGGAGACTCAGTTACCTGCTCAAAGAACTCATCCATGAAGTGGTCCCGATCCACGTGGACCACCTCCTCCTCATCGTCACTGTCTTTCGCCTGCGAGACAGAGGAAGGTGGAGGCCGTGAGCAGCCTGCCTGGTCCTCCCGCCGCCGGCGCCCCGCTCCTCCCGCCGCCAGCGCCCCGCTCCTCCCGCCGCTCCTCCTGCCGCCGGCGCCCCGCTCCTCCCGCCGCCAGCGTCCCGGTCCTCCCGCCGCTCCTCCCGCCGCTCCTCCCGCCGCCAGCGCGCCGCTCCTCCCGCCGCCAGCGCCCCGCTCCTCCCGCCGCTCCTCCTGCCGCTCCTCCCGCCGCCAGCGCCCCGCTCCTCCCGCCGCTCCTCCCGCTGCCAGCGCCCCGGTCCTCCCGCCGCTCCTCCCGCCGCTCCTCCCGCCGCCAGCGCCCCGCTCCTCCCGCCGCTCCTCCCGCCGCCGGCGCCCGGGTCCTCCCGCCGCCAGCACGCCGGGCTCAGCAGGAGGCTGGGAGGGGCCGGATGGGGGGGGTCAGCGCCAGCCCCTCCCGCCCCCCCTGCAGTCAGGATGAACGGGGCCGTGGGTGGAACAGCAAACCCGGGGCCAGGTGGCCGATGGGGAATTAGCAACAGGCGCCTCTCCGGGGAGATGTGGCCCTGGGAGGGCAGTCACCTGGAGGCAGCGGCCACATACTCCTGCTGTTGGCAGCCAGGACAGAGGTGTCTCGGTATTGCAACAGCCAGCTCACTGTCCGCCTGGCAGGCACTGGCTCTGGGCGCTGAGGAGGGGTCTGGGATGGAGTTCCAGGAACCTGACCCTCTCCGCCATCCCTCAGCCACTGGGCCTCACTTTGCTCCCCTCTTCTTCCAGCCGCGTTCCCTCTACAAGGGCAGTTCACTGCCAGCAAGCAGCCAGCCGGTGAGGGCTGGGGAGACACAGCAGCACCCCCTCCTTCTGTGTCTTCCTCCTCCTGCCCACCCGCACCCCCCCAGCTGCTCTGCCCCCACTGCCCCGCTGCTCCCCGGCTCTCCTCGGTGTAGTCACTTGCTTTCATCCAGCCTCTCCCAACCTCACACCCACCTACTCTCACTGGCTTGGATTTCCTAGTTGCAACCTGCAGCTGCTCAGCCTCCACCCCCAGGGCTCAGAGACACAAAGGGATGTACACACCCACACCTCCCCCGAGAGCGGTGACACACACAGGCAGACAGACCCACTGACACCCACACGGAGTCGCTAACATGCTGACGTCCACCCACACGCAGACCCATGCAGAGCGGCATGCAGTGCGTGTGGACACACTAGTCGCCCGCACCCCGAGCACTGGGGAGGCCCCGAGCCTGGGCTGCACACTCGCTGGGAGCTGGGAAAGGGGGGAGGCAGGGAGGCTCACCGCTGCCGCATTCCTGACTTAAGAGCCTCTGCGGGGACAAAAGCTGAGCCCTCCAAGCGAAGTTACATCTGGAGCCGAGTAGCCCCACGGGGAACTTAGCGTTCACCCGGAGTCCCAGGAGGAACCCAACCACCACTCAGACCTCAGTCCAGAGCCTGAATGGAATCAAGGCGGGACCCACAAAGCGTCTGGCCGGCAGGGCCGGGGATCTAGAGAGAAGGGCTCACACGGAACCTCACAGGGTCACAGCCGATTGCAGGCAGAGCCTGGCAGAACCAGACGGCTCAGACCGAACCAGACTCGGCACAGACACATGCCAGACAGCGCAGATCGAACCTAGACAGCCAGATGGGACCTAGATACAATCTAGCAGCCCGGGGAAGCGGGATCGCAGAGCCCAAGAGCACAGGAAGGAACCGCCAGCCTGGAGAAGACCTTGCCGGACTCAGAAGCCTGCCCGGAAACGCAGGAATTCTCCGCAGACGGCCCACACCACGTCAGAAAGGGTGCGGCACGCACATTTGATTTCCAGAGAATCCCAGTATCCACGGGGAAAGGGAGGCTCCCCCAGGAGAAGGGTGGCCCCAGGTAGGCCTTCGGGCTCTGATGGGGCTTCTCAAGTCCCCCCTGACCCGGGACGCCCCCTTAGTCCCTGGCCTTAGAGGCTTGGGGATCCTGGCTCATCTCTGAGCCCCACCAGCCTCCCACGATGCTCTGTCCTCGGAAAGCCAGCTGCCCCTGGCCCTAAAGCCAGCCTCTGCCCTCTCTGCCTCCCAGCACTCCACCAGCCCAGCTGCCTCAGGTCGTGAGGCCTCGCCTTCCTGTTCTCTTTCTCTTTCCCTTCCACATGCTGACTTAGACTTCCTGAAGTCTGATTTCTGTCTCTCCTATTGTTCCCAGAGCCAGTTCCTTAGCTTCTGCCCTGAGGCACGCTACCTGCCTATCCCCGTCCTTGAGACAGGAAAACAGACCGAGGACCCAATATGACCTATTTGGTGTCATAATTACAGAGCGCTGAGCGCTAACAGTCCGCTACAGTTCACAAACAGTCCTCTATGTTCACAAGCACTTCTGCATCCATAATCCCTCTGATCCTCACCAGGAAAGGGAGAGCAAACACCACTGTCCCCATTTCACAGGTGAGGGGGCAGGAGGTCAGAGGGGATAAAGGAAAGTGTGCCAGGTGGAGGGGGGTGGGGAGACGGTAGGCATATAAGACAGGCCTTTCCCAAGCCCCTCCACAGCGGGAGACTCCTGCAGCCCGCACCCCGTCAGCCACCTTCTTCCAGCACCTCTGTCCCAGCTACCTCCCTCTAAGGTCCACCCTGTGCCCTGAAGTCCTGGCAGAATGTTAACAATGGACAGCACCTCTGCACAGACCTTACCTTCCTGTTATCTCCTCTAATCTTCATTAAAATTCTATGAGAGCCAAAACCAGTTTGGCTCAGTGGATAGAGTGTCTGCCTGCGGACTTAAAGGTCCCAAGTTCGATTCCGGTCAAGGGCATGTACCTTGGTTGTGGGCATATCCCCAGTGGGGGGTGGGCAAGAAGCAGCTGATTGATGTTTCTCATCTATGTTTCTAACTCTCTATCCCTTTCCCTTTCTCTCTGTAAAAAATCAATAAAATATATAGAAATAAAACAAAAACTCTATGAGGATGCCGAAACCGGTTTGACTCATGGATAGAGTGTCAGCCTGCGACTGAAAGGTCCCAGGTTCGATTCGGGTCAAGGGCATGTGCCTTGGTTGCAGGCACATCCCCAATAGGGATTGTGCAAGAGGCAGCTGATCGATGTTTCTAACTCTCTATCCCTCTTTCTTCCTCTCTGTGAAAAATCAATAAAATATATTAAAAACAAACAAACAAAAAAACTCTATGAGGACCATTGACCAACGATATAATCATGGCAAACATTTACACAGCATGCTATGGGTACCATTCTATGCACTCTGCATGTATTTATCCATTTGATTATTTTTAAAAATGTGTTTTATTGATTTTAGAGGAAGGGGGGAGAGAGAGAGAAATATTGACATGAGAGAGAAACATCAAGCGGCTTATATGCACCCTGACGGGGCTCTGCCTCGGTAGTGCCCTGACTTGGAATCAAACCTGCACCCTTTCCGTGCACGGACGACGCTCCGACCAACCAAACCGCACTGGCCAGGGCTCCCATCTATTCTTACACCCACCCCCCAGGAGAGACATCACAGCTCCCTTTTGTAGATGGGCAAACCCAGACAGAGAGAGGCTAAGGATGTGCCCAAGCCAGCGGCTAGAAGGCCACATGACGTCTCCCCTCTGAGCCTCAGCTCTGCATTTGCTGGGTGGCAATCATGTCTACCCCAAACGGTGGGCAGGAGGGCAATGAAACCAGGCAGGGAAGTGCCCCATGCTGCCAGAGAGAAAGCGGATGCTAAGTGGGGACAGGCTATTACCCTTCCCCTCCCATGTTACAGATGACGAGACAGGCTCAGAGAAGTTCCTACCTGTCTAAGGCTTTGCAGCAAATAAGGCCTGAACTGCCCGCCATCCTTTCCTTCCTTCCTGGCCTCAGAGAGTCCGTCCTGCTGAACTCCGAGGCCAGGACAGAACGCACCTGAGGGGCCTGGCTCAGGAAGGCTACCACAGGAAGCCAGGCGTGCCCACCGCCACCACTGGCTGTAGGAGCCTAGGAGCGTCAGCCCCGCTCTGCCCCGCTCAGCTGTGAAATGGGCGGGCTGGAACATGGCTCAGCCCCCTGCTCTGGGTGTACGGTTTAATAACGAGCATGGTCTCCATTGCTGGACGCTGCCAGCCTGACAGAGAGAGGCTGTGGGCTAAGGAGACTGACTACCTGGGAAAAGAGGGCCGATCCTCTTTACTGGACAATTCAAGCCTCCGTTTCCTCATGAGCAAAATGAAGGCAAGAATTGCATGCATCTAGCCCTGGCTGGTGTGGCTCAGTGGTTTGAGTGTCAGGCCCTGAACTGAAGGGTCTTGGATTTGATTTCTGGTCAAGGAGACATACCTGGGTTGTGGGCTCAGTCCAACATGCAGGAGGCAGCCAATCAATGATTCCCTCTCATCATTGATGTTTCTATCTCTATCTTCCTCTCCCTTCCTCTCTGAAATCAATAAAACATATTTAAAATCAATCAATTAACTAAAATTTTGTTAAAAGAAAAAAGAATTAGCCCCAGCCAGTGTGGCTCAGGTGACCTACAAACCTGGAGGTCACGGTTCTATTCCAGTTGTGGCTCAATCCCCAGTGTGGGGTGTGCGGGAGGCAGCCAATCCATGATTCTCATCATTGATGTTTCTCTCTTTCCCTTCCTCTATGAAATAAATAAAAATATATTTTAAAAAAGAATTATATAATCTAACACATACGTACTGATTACCAGGCGCTGGGCCCTGCTACAAGTGCTTTGAATTTCTTGTTTAATCCTTACAGCCACTCCATGAAGTATATACTATCCATATTCCCATCGGACAGATGAGGAAACTGAGGCATGGGAGATTAAGTAACCTGCCCAAGATTATACAGCTGAGGGTGCTGATAGGGCGATGCCTACTTTGAAGCCAGACTCCTTGCTCTTATGGCTCGACAGCCCCTCAAGCGCTTGAGGATGGGAGCAGAGAGGAGAGATCCCAGGCACCCCGGGAGCTGCCTGGGGAACAGGGGTGATCAGATCAGACCCAAGCCTCTAGCTGCAGCCCTCCCATCGGACACCAGGGGCCCTGTGGGTGTCAGCAGCGGAAACAGCAGACAGGTGGGCAGGGAAAGGAGGAGAGGGACAATGTGAGCCAAAGCGACCGATGCAGAGAGGGTGACTGAAACAACGATGGAAAGAGACTGGAATCGGGTGACAGGAAAGTCACAGAGCATGTGTGTGTGTGTGTGTGTGTGTGAATACACATGGGCCCATGTACACACATGTATGCTCACACGTGTCCCTCAGGGGTGCAAGCATCGCTTGATCTGGAGGCAGCAGCACATCTCCCTGTACCCCACTTCTGCCCATCTGTGCCTCGACCTGGCCTCTCCTACCAGCATCTAGGCTAGCCCCCCAACCCACCTCCCTCTGCCTTCCCTGCCTTCCCGCTCACTCCCTCCCACCCTCCTCTGCCCACTGAGTCCTATGCGTCCACCAGGATGTACCAGCATGACCGGGCCGGCTCGCTCCGGGTGCCTGGGTACGGGGAACAGGCCAGGAAGGAGGGAGGCAGACAGTGACAAACGAGCAGGATGGTGTCGGCTGTGCTGAGAGTGGGAGGGAGAGGAACCAGGGACGTGACGGAGAGACATGAGCCAGGGAGACCTTCCCGGGAGCTGACCCCTGAGCCCAGTCCTGAAGGCGTCACTGTGCCCCCACCTGGGAACAGCTCAGGCAGAGGCAGGGCGCTCCAGGCAGAGGGGGGCATCAACACGGAGGGACCCGCACTCCGGGCCGAGGGAACAAGTGCAAAGGCCCCCAAAGCAGGGAGCTTGCTGTTTGAGGAGCAGGAACATGCCGAGCGCAGCTGACTGGCCTGGCCGTCACCCCGTTCCCCGGCCTCTGTCCCTCTGTGCACACCGGGCCTCTGTCCCTCTGGGCACACCGGGCCTCTGTCCCTCTGTGCACACCGGGCCTCTGTCCCTCTGTGCACACCAGGCCTCTGTCCCTCTGGGCACACCGGGCCTCTGTCCCTCTGGGCACACCGGGCCTCTGTCCCTCTGTGCACACCGGCTTCTCTCCTGTTCTTGCAGGTCTGCCGTTCTAAAGCGCCTGCCGGGTCTGTCCACACCTGGTCCACACCTGGTGCTCACGGGGGTCCGGGCCGGCCCTCGGGAACAGCCCCCTTCTCATGAGGCCTCAGAGTCAAGCCCCCTCAGCGCAGGCCTCACCCTCCTCCATTTCTCAGTCTCCCCGGTCCCTGTCTCCGCCTTCCCCTTCCACAGTCCGCACGTGTCTTCTAGTGCTCCCTCTCCCCCCCAACCTTCTCTGTCTCTCTTGCTCTCCCTCCCCTCCTCTTGAGCCCCATCCCTGCCCCATGTTTGGATCTTGGGACACCAATCCAGCTAATCAACCCTGACTGCAGCCTCCATTCCAGCCAGGCGCCTCCTAGCTCCCAGCCAAAGGGGTTTGGTCCCCTGGAGACAGCAAACCCTGGTTTGACCCTGGCTCTGCCACCAACAGCTGTGTGACCTTGAGCAAGTTGGGTTACCTGTGTGGCCCTCAATTTACTCTAAAATAGATGAGGGTCACATCCTGCCCATCCCAAGGGTTCAAGAGAAATAAACAAGTCAGCTGTGGGATAACAAACATTCACAGGGTCCTGCTGGGCACCGGGCCTCCTGGGTACTCTGTACCCAGTACCTAATTTCAACCCTTAGGATAGATAACCCTGCAAACTGTCGTTACTCTGATTTCACACATGAAAAAGATGACTACCAGAGAGGTTAAGCAACTTACCCAAGGTCACACAGGAAGTAGCAAAGCCAGGATTCGAACCCAGACAGTCTGACTCCTAAATCTGTGCCCTCAGTTGCTCAGTGATAAACGCGTCTGACAACTCCTTGGGGACTCGAAGGTACTAGACAGTCACCTGCTGGCTGACTCCCGCCCACCACGGCCCCATCCCTCTCAGCCTCTCAGAGCGCCTCTCCCAGGCCTCCCACGCCCTCTAGCTTCTCCGGCTCCTTGCTCTTCACGCTGGCAGGGAGACCCTCAGCACTGCTTGCATCTGGCAGCTTCTTCCCTCTCCACCCACCCCCTCCCAAATCTCCAGTTTCCAGAGCTATGACTAACACAGAGCCACCAGTAGGCACCAGCCCTCCAGCCTACCTCCCACCTCCCACCTCGCTGCCCCAGCAGCCCAAGTGGACAGACCCCTTACCCCTCACCCCTGGGCAGGGTCCCGACCCACTCAGAGGAAGACTCCCATCCCCTGCCTCTCCTCCACCCTTCCTCTCCCTCCCCCTCTCTCCAATTCCACCACAATTCCACCCTCGCCCCAATCCACCTTCCATTTCTCTGGATTTTGGAGTCACGGAGAGTGTTAGCAGCAGGGGCTCTGGGTTCAAACCCGAACTCCTCACTTGCTGGCTGTGTGACCTTGGGCGAGCTAGGTGACCACTCTGGGCTTTGGTTTCCTCAGCTATAAAACGAGGGAGTCTCTCAGTCTGCCTCCCTGTCCAGGAGGTGGGCGAAGGTCTAAAAAAGTATGGATAGCCGAGACCGGTTTGGCTCAATGGATAGAGCGTCGGCTTGGGGACTGAAGGGTCCCAGGTTCGATTCCGGTCAAGGGCATGTACCTTGGTTGCGGGCACATCCCCAGTAGGGGGTGTGCAAGAGGCAGCTGATCGATGACTCTCTCTCATCGATGTTTCTAACTCTCCATCTCCCTCCCTTCCTCTCTGTACAAAATAAATAAAATATATTAAAAAAAAAAAAAAAGTATGGATAGCAATGACTTCCCGAGAGAAGGGTGGGTTAGAGCCCGATGGAGCCGGCCTGCCTGGCCGCCTTTTACTAGCTGTGTGACTTCGGGTAAGTCACTTAACCTCTCTGGGCCTCAGTTTCCTTACCTTTAAAACAGGCTAACTCCAGAGTTGCTGTGACAATCACGATGAGTTAATGTGTATAAAAAACTCGGGACGGTGTCTGGCATGTAAGTGTTGGTTATTTTCTATTACTGTTTTTTTCCTGATGCCTATTCAGTTAGTTTAATAAAGAAACAAACCTTCACATTCCCTCCCTTCCCACTTGCCAACCCATCACTCCCAGAGACAGCCAGCACTGCCTCAGAACCCCTTCCTCTCGTCTTAGCAACCTGGTTCCCACCCCAAACCCAGGGGGCTCTCCAAAGAGTCTTTAGCCCTCCACTCCACCCACACAGCTCACGTTCAGACTGTTTCAAAGGCCACAAAAGCAGAGTCGCGTGTCAGCTTGGCAAACAGGAAACCCTCACTCCAGCCTGGTCCTCCCATTCACCTGCTTGGTGACCTTGGGCAAGTCCCTGCCCATCTCCGAGCGCTTCCCTGGCCTGTCAATGGAGCGGCCCTGCTGGGCTGGTGCTCTGTGACCGACACCCCAGGCCAGCGCCCACGGCGGTGTCAGCACTGCCCCTGGAGCCCCAGTCATTCTCGAAATCCCCAGCCTCCTCCCCTCAAGACACCATCCCATCAAGCCCCCACACCAGCCCCTCCGCGCAGCCTGCACCTTAGACACCAGTCCCCAAGCACAACTCCCTGCCGGGCCAGCCTGGAGCCCGGCCTCCTCAGGCCTGCAGATGGGGCCATGGTGGACGGGCCACGGCGGACGGGCCATGGCAGACGGGGCCCACGGGGCCTGCCTGGCTGTTGGGGGCAGCTCCCCCGCAGAGCACAGTCCCTGTCAGACAACCCAGTTCCGCGGCCCTGTGCCTGGAACCTTCTCCCTCCTCCTCCGCATCCCCACCTCCAGCCTCTGGGTCACCCCATCCCAGGCCCTGGCCTCCGGTGTCTGCTGAGGTGCCCCTTCTCGGGAGAGCAGCACACACGTGCGCGCGTGCGAGCACACACACATACACACACACACACACACACACACACACGCACGCACACTCGCACTTCATTCAGTGCCAGGTGCTGGCATCTCAGTCCCAACCTGTGTCCTTCCCGGAGCCTCCCCGGCCGGTCCTCGGGGCGCAGCCGGCCGGCGAACAGCCCCTCCTCCTAACCCCGAAAATCCGGCCGGGCTGACAGCACCCTCCGGCTCCTCCTAGCACCCACTCTCCCACCCCCATCAGGGCCAGGGCCCGGGGATGTGGGTGTCCGAGGCCCTGAGACCTCCCGGGCTTCCCACACCTCCCGGCCGCTGTCCCCGAAATGCAGGTTCGCGGAGAGCATCGGCGCCTCCAGAGACCGTGGGGCCCCCGCCGCCAACGCCGGCCCCACAATTTGCCCCCATAGCCCGGCACCTGCCCACTCCGCCCCCGCCGCTCCCCAAATACGGGGTCCCTCCTCCCCTTCCCCACCCCCAGGCTCACACTCCGCAGCTCCTGCGTCCGGTCCTTCATCCTGCGACGGCGCCTCCTCCTCCTCGTCCTCCCGCCGCGGCTGCTCCGGCCTCAGGCTGGGCCGGGGGCAGGGACCGGTCCGGGTCCGGGTCCGGGTCCGGGTCCGGGTCCGGGGTCCGGTCCGGGGGGAGCGGAGCCCGGGGCGGCCGGGCGGGGCGGGGGCGGCGGGGGCCGGGCCTGGCCGCGGGCTCTGCCGGCTGCGGTGGCGATGCGGCTGCGGCACCGGCTCGGATGGAGGGATGCGGGCGCCGAGGCGGGGGAGGGGGAGGGAGGTGAGGAGCGGGAGGGAGGGGGAGCGGGAGGGGGCGGGAGCAGGGGGCATGCGCAGCTCCGGGTCTGGGGGCGCCTGGGGGTTGTAGTCCGGGGAGGGGGCCGGGGCAGGGGAGCCCCGGAGGAGGGAGGGAGGGAGGGGGGAGCGGGGCGGGGACCCGGGATGCGGGAGGATCGGGAGGTGCGCGAGGCGGGGATGCTGCGGGGCACCGGGCGGGGGCGGAGGCCGCGCGGAGGGGCGAGAGAGTGAATATCCGGGGAGAGGCGCTGGGGACAGGCTTTAGGTTTGTGTCTGCGAGTGTGTGTGAGCCTGTGTACGACCACCTCCGTGTGTGCGTGTGCGTGTGCGTGTGTGTGTGCATGTGCGTGTGTGTGTGTGTGCATGTGTGCATGTGAGTGTGTGTGTATGTGAGTGTGTCCCTGCGGGAGGCTCTCCGGACATTAGGAACAGCAAGCCTGACCCTCTAGGCTGCTTCTGTGAGTGAGGAGTCGCCCAGCCCAGCTGAGAAGGACAGGGGCGGTTGCTTTTGTGCACAGCCTTTCCCACTCCCAGTGAGGCCTGGCAGCAGGGCGTCCCTGAGCTCCGCTCGTCTGCCTCCAGGGACAGGATGCTCACACCCTCACCAGACCTCCTGGCCTGTCTTTAGACAGATCTGCCTTTTAAAACGGAAATTCATTCACACTGGGAGGAGGATTCTGACACCCCTGGCCACCCAGGTACCTGCATCCCTCTCCTCAGTGTCCACCTCTCCTCTCCTATGTCCCTGTCTCAGCGGGACCTCACCCCCTACGCCTGTAATGGGGCTTTGGCCCCCAACAGGCCTCGAACCTGTTTTTGCCAAGTCCCAGTGACCTCTTTGATAGCAAACCCATCGACTACCTGGCAGGCCTTATCCTCCATGATCTTTCAGGGAATATGACCCTAATGACTTCTTCTTTCTTTTTTATTTTATTTTATTGATTTTTTACAGAGAGAAAGAGAGAGGGATAAAGAGTTAGAAACATCGATGAGAGGATAATTGATCAGCTGCCTCCTGCACACCCTCTACTGAGGATGTGCCCACAACCAAGGCACATGCCCTTGACCGGAATCAAACCCAGGACCTTTTCAGTCCACATGCTCTATCCACTGGGCCAAACCGGTTTCGGCATCTTTATTTCTTAAAATATATTTTTATTGATTTCAGAGAGGAAAGGAGAGGGAGAGAGAGACAGAAACATCGACGAGAGAGAATCATAAGTTGGCTGCCTCCTGCACACCCCCTATTGGGGGTACCAAGCCCGCAACCCAGGCATGTGCCCTTGACCTGAATCAAACCTTAGACCCTTCAGTCCGCAGGCCGATGTTCTATCCACTGAGCCAAACCAGCCAGGGCTCTTGTTTAAACCTTCTTCTCCTTGGTTCCCAGCCTGTCTCCTGCCTCTGCCTCCCTGCCCCTCCCAACACACACACACACACACACACACACACACACACACGCACGCACACACACGCACACATGCGTGCACACACACACACTTCTGGATGTTGTTTCTCAGCCCCTCCATTCTTCCACAACCCCTCAACAGCGGGGTCCCCAGGCCCCACCTCATCTTCTTTACCGCTCACTCCCCAGGTTCAGCTGTGTCTGCAGGTCTACAATACTGACGTCTGTACGCAAGCCAGGTCCTCTCCTCAGGGGCAGCGCCTGTGGTGGCTGAGCCGCGGGCTGGCACCGAGGACAGAGACATCCCCGGCGCCAGTGAGCGGGCCACCACCATGCTGGCCGCGCCTTCCCAGCGCTTCTCGGCACCTGACCGCGTGGAGGGCCGTGCAGGGCTCTCGGCTGCGTCTCACTTGCATCCTTTGACAACGAAGCCCGTTCTTGTGAAACCACAATGTCACACTTCACCTCAGTGGCCAAATCCAGAGCCTCCTCCTATGTCCTCTCTCTCTATTGCAACCACCGAGGTCAGTCCGGGTCCTCATCTGCTTTCCCCGGGGCTGAGGGAGAGCCTCCTCCTGGTCTTCCTGCCTGCGGACTCTTTCCCTCACATCCATGTTTCCTCCCAGCTGCTAGCGTGACCGTCCCCAAACCAACGTGATCAGACCCACCCCTGCACCAACACCTCCGTGCCCCTGCCCCCCTGACTGCTCTCAGTAGCTGCTCTGGCGTTTGAAGTCACAGCACCATCGCCTCATCTCTCCTCCTACCTCCTTCCCTGTGCCACGGACCCACGGCCTCAACCACACAGAGAGTCACAGATCCCAATACCGGAGCCTGTCACTGTGCCATCCCCTCCGCTTGGTATTGTTCTGTCCCTTCTCTGATAGCCCTTTCAAAGCCCAGTCCGAGCCCCTCCCGGCGTCAGGCAGACAGCGTGGTAAGGCGGGGGCTGTGCCTGCTTCCCCACTCCACCAGCCTGGGCCTGACTCTGCCGGCTTCTCCCCAGCAACCAGCACAAGGTCAGGCACAAAGGAGATGTCCACTAAACCTCTGAGTGACCGAGTGAGTGAATGCCATGTGCCCTCACACCTTTACCCAGGCATGAAGACAAGGAAAACAGCTCCATGAAGACAGGCATCCTCTTGGTTTTGTTCAATGCTGGTTCTCCAGTGGCTCTGTAGCACCTGGCACATAGTAGATGCTCAATACACACGTGTTTGTTAATGTGTGAGTGAAAGGTGCCAATTCAAATCTGACTGCCGTTCTAACGATGGACACAGAGTCGCCATGTGCCGACGGTGGTGATCTCGTTGTCCAGTGGTTTTGAGCTAAGTGCATCCATGATCGCTTGGAATCCACCCAAGCACCCTACGAGGTGGGATGCCAGGACCACACACCCACCTGCCGTCCAGCCTCCTGCCTGCGTGGCAGTTCTGAAGCTCAGCATAGCCAAGCCGGCCTCTGCTCCGAGCCTCCCCGGTTCCCCACGGCTCAGATTTCTAACCTGACTCCCCACTTTGGGGCACACCGCCATCCTCACGTTCCCGACTCCAGTCCCTGCATTTTCCCATTTCCATGTGCTTCCTCGTGGTGTTCCTGACCCCGGAGCACCTATCCTCTCATTTCCACACCCACCGCCTCCTCTCCTTTCAGAGCCCAGTGCTGGGGTTTTCCTGGACACCCCCGAGCGGAGGGAAAGCAGGCTGATAGACAGGCTGCCAGGCCGCCACCCCGGGAATTCTGATTCAGGAATCGGGGATGGAGCCCAGAAACCCCGGCTTCCACAACCAACTCTGGCCAGTCTTATTCTCAGTGGAGTCTGGGTTTACCCGGCGGCCAGGCTAAGGCTGGGCTGTGCTGGGTAAGAAACACCCCAAATCTCAGGGACGCCACTCCGCAAAGCTCTGTTTCTGCAGAGCTTTGGGCTGCTTCCCAGAGCAGCTGCCCTTCAGAGCGTCTCAGGGCTGTGGGTGGGGACATGCATACACAGCTTAGCAGCGTGCTGGACCCCGAGAGCCTCAGCTTCCAGGACCGCACCTCATTCAGCTCTGCCTCCCGTGGTCCCTGGCACAGGCCCGACCACACCTGCTGTGCTCAGGAGCAGAGAACGAAGACCCCTTTGACCTGTCCATTCATTAACTAGTGTTTAAGGAGACGACTCTTTGCACAGGATTATGCTCGATGTTGGGGACACAGCGATGAGCAAAGGAACCTCAACCTGCTCCGTGGAGCCGGCCACCTAGCTTCTCTGAGCCCTGAGCTACAGCCTGTGAAATGGGCCACGTCGCTCACCCTGCGGGCGCCGTGGAGGAGCGTTTACTGAGAAGATGAGCGTGGAAGCCATTTGCAACTGAAAATCCCAATCACAGAAGACGCCATGGGCCGTTACTGTGGTGTGTGCCCTCTGCTCCTCCAGCCTCACAGCCCATTCCAGGTTTCATTCCTTAGGCCCCTGGAAGCAGTGGCACAGCTCCCTGCTGTTCCCACTTCCTTTCAGTCATCATGAACCTGTAGCATGGATATAATATTAATAATAATGATAATAATCTCTTTTTTATATTTTAGAGAGCAGAGAGAGAGACATAAATTTGTTGTTCCACTTATTTATGCATGCATTAGTTGTTTCTTATGTGCCCTGATCGGGAATCAAACCTGCATCCTCAGCGTATTGGACCATGCTCTCACCAACTGAGGCACCAGCAAGGGCAATAGCGAAGCCTTATTTAGTACATAGCATGTACCAAGCTCTGTTTTAAATGTTTTATTTCTATTAATTCATTTAATATTTATAACAGCCATCTGAGGATACTAGTATTATCTCCGTTTATAAACAAGGAAACTCCAGCACAAAGAGTTTAAGTTGCTCTCGGCAGGAGCTGGGATCCACTTCAGGCAGAAGTGGTGGGCTATTGACTCATTCTCCAGGTGAACTGGTTATCTGCCTCCCGGGAGGCTCACTGCAGCCCTTCTCTCCACCAAAACAGTCAGCATCCAGCAGCAGAGACACGTGGCACTGGCTCTGTACATATATTTTGGGAGAACTGAGTCATTACAATATTGAGCCTCCTATCCATTTACATGGTATATCTACCCATTTGTTTAGGACCTTTTTATTTTATTTATTTATTATTTATTTATTTATTTATTTATTTAAATATATTTTATTGATTTTGTACAGAGAGGAAGGGAGAGAGATAGAGAGTTAGAAACATCGATGAGAGAGTCATCGATCAGCTGCCTCTTGCACACCCCCTACTGGGGATATGCCCGCAACCAAGGTACATGCCCTTGACCGGAATCGAA